GCACCATGCTGAGGTACAGGGGCCCAGGGACCCTCTGGAGCTGCATCCAGGGCCTGCCAGGTCTCTGGGCCCCCGATGGAATTTCTGGTCTCTGCGGTCCCTCCCTGCTGGCCAGCAGGGCAAAGGCAGCCAGCCCTCCCCGCGCGCGCGCACTCACACACACACACACTCACACACACACACACACACACACACACACACACACACACACACACGCGGCCCCGCACCACTCCCCAGGGCCGGCTTCCCCACAGGGAAAGCTTTCTTCCTCCAGGGTGGCCGAGGGCTTGGTGGCTGCACCACAAGCCCCTAATTTCTGAGCCCGCGTGTTTGCTGGCCCACCTGCACTTCTGCTGTGGGAACACTGGGCCCCACGAGGGCACAGGCTGTGCGGGCAGGAAGCAGAGGGCTGGCCACCTGCCCGGTGGGGGAGGGGCAGGGAAGGGAGCCAGCCCAAGGCGGAGCATACAGCCCCCTCCCGCAGCCCCCTCCCGCAGCCCCGGAAGGCACCCCCTCCCGAGAGGCAGTAGGCCAGAGGTGTGGGGCCGGGTCCCCGACTGGCGTCTTCTCCTGAATTCCCAGACTGGGGCAGCAGGCACGACGTGTGGGTGGTGGACACGGACTATGACGAGTACGCCCTGCTCTGCACCTCTGGCACCAAAGGCCTCGGCCAGGACGTCCACATGGCCAGTCTCTACAGTACGTGCCCACCCTGCGCCGGGGCCGCAGCCTGGCGGGAGGCCTGGGCGGTTGGGGGAGCAGAGCGGAGACATCTCGGCTCTCCTTCCTGCCTCAGGCCGCACCCAGAGCCCCAGGGCCGAAGTGAAGGAGAAATTCACTGCCTTCGCCCGGGCCCAGGGCTTCACAGAGGACGCCATTGTTTTCCTGCCCAGAAACGGTATGGGGCTGCTGGTCTGACGGAAGGGATTAAGGTCAGATTAGAGGCAGACAGACAGTCTCCTGATTTCAAGGAGGCCAGGGGCGGCCTTCCTCTGGCCAAACTGCCCACTGACCAGCACGTGGCCACCAGCGCGGAGGTGGGGGGGTCTGTCCTGGCAGCATGACCTTGGCTTGCAGCCCCTTGGCTTGAATCCTTCCCTGGATTCACCAAGCACCCAACGTGTGTGCCAGGCCTCAGGTCAGCCCCCGGGATACAGGGGTCCCCAGCCTGGTGGGGGCAAGCATGAGAAACAGAACCTGCTGGGTGGGGGTCCCATGGGAGCACAGGCGCTGTGGGAATGCGGGGCACCAACGCACTGGGGCTCAGGCGCCGGCTCCCCGAGGCTTCTGCAGGGGCAGGCCGCCTCGCTGACGTGACATGGGACACAGGACTCCTCTGTCTGCAGGAGCAGGGGTCGGGGAGGGGTGGGACGCATCTGCGTCGGGGGTCCAACCAGACACTCTCCAGGGCTGCGGAGGGGCAAACAGCCCAGCGGGGGGGAGCGGCCCTGGCCCAGGTGGGGAGCGGCTCTGGCCCAGGGCGCTGACCTCCCCGCTTCCTTCCTGGCAGCAAAATGCATAGAGGAGCAGGAATAGGTGAGTGCGGCGGGCGCGCGGTGGCCTGGCCTCCCCCAGCTGTCCCTCTCCATCGTCCATTCAGGACACCCCCCCCATGCAAGGGTGGTCCCAGGCAGACAGGGCCCAGTGCCGGGGGCGGGGGGGGAGGAAGGGGGCTCCACTGGGGTTCAGCCAGGCTGCCGAGGGCAGGAGGGGCTGGAGGCTGGGGCAGGAATGGGCGGGGAGTCAGAGGGGGCAGGTGCTCCTTGCTTAACGACATCAGGGGATAGGCCCTGGGGGGTTCAGTCCCCTGCGGGTGGAATCCCAAGGGGATTGAAGACCCTGAGCCAGCGAGGGGTGTTGCCTGCTCTCTTGGCCAGGTGACCCCAGAATCTCAGGACCTGGCTATCCTGCTCTGCTCTGTTCTCCTCCAAGACCTCGAGACCCCAGCCCTGCCTCCTCCGGCCACCGCCCCTCAGCTTTCTCCCGTCTCAGAATAAACTCCAGAAGCAAGTCAGCAGCCTGGCTCCTGTCTGTCTGTCCTGTGGTCCTCCGTCACTGCGCTGGGCCTGGCTTTGGCTGGTTCCCTGGGGACCTGACCTCTGTGTCCCCAGCCCGCTCTGCTCTGCGTGACTCCTGGAAGGGTGGCCTAGAGCTCGCTCATGTTTGCTTTTGGCGATGTGGGAGAGCTGGGCCAGTTCAGAAGTCAGGGCGGCTAAGGGACGTGTCCTCAGTACCCACCCACGCCACACACGGCTCTGCCCTCGCCGCGGCCCCTCCAGCTGCAGCCCCTCGCCCCAGCCAGGAGAGGCGTGGGGCCCCAGGGAGGGTGGGCTCTGCTGGGTTTTGCAGGTACAGGATTCGCACGCTGGGGTTGGGGGGGGTAAAGGTCTCTGGGGACAAAGACGGGGGCTGCTGGGTGTCTGTGCCCCCCCCCCACGACGGCAAGGACTGGTCCGAGTGGGCCGGAGACAGACGGCCGCATCCCCTCGGCTTCCTGAGCACTCCCGTCCCCCGGGCCCCGGGCCCCGGCCCGGGCCTTGCGAGCACAGAGCCTTGCCTATTCTCCTGGCCCCCGGCACAAAGCCGAGCCCCTGCCGGGGTGTGGTCTCCCAGCCCTGCGCCTCGACTCCTGCTGTCCCCAGATTCCCGGCTGGGTCCTTGCTCACAACGAGCAGTACTCCTGCCCACCCCGTCCCCACCCGGGCAGACCTCAGCCAGGCCCTGCAGAGGCATCAAGGATCATGAGACTGCGATGTGCAGATGAGCTTCTGGGAGGGCTCCCTGGAGGAGGCGGGCTGGGGGCTGTGCCAGAGTTGAGGGCTGGGGGCCAGCATCCCAGAGGGCCTGCCAGGACGACGCCTCCCGCTGCTGTGGGGCATCCGGCCACCTCCCCAGGAGGAAGCGGAGAGGGGCCAGGGTGCTGCAGGGTGAAACTCGATCAGGAGCCTATCTCAGCAGGTCTGCCCAGGTGGGCAGGCCGGCTGCCCCAGGGCATCCTAAGAGGCATAAAGGCTCTGCTCCCGAGCCCCCGCCACCACCAGGACCGTCTTCCATGATGCTGCAGACACTGCTGGTCAGCTGCACCCTCGCCCTGCTCCGGGTGTCCCCAGGCCAGGCCCAGGTCCCCATCCAGGCCAACTTCGATGCCAGCCAGGTGTGCCCAGGTGTCCCCTCTTGCTCACAGATGCTCTGTCCATCCAGGTCCCAGGGGCCCAGCTGCCTTCTACCCAGAATGGCTGGAGGGCCAGAGGCAGCCCAGCGCTGACCACAGCTTCTCTGATCCAGGCTCAGCTCAAGCCTGGGGACGAGGGAATGTCCCCATCCGCCTGGCCCACCTGGGGGCGGGTGGGCAGGGGAGGACAGAAGACCAGCCCCTCAGCCCAGCCTCTGGCGGTGGTGGTGCCCACCACCACTGAGCGGGGCCCCAAATCAGGACAAGTCACCGCTGTCCCCCACACGGGGTCAGCTGTCCCGGCACCCCCCTGCAGTTCCAGGGCACCTGGTACGTGGTCGCGGCGGCGTCGGATGACCCGGGCTTCCTGGACGCCAAGGACAGCATGAAGATGCCCGTGGTCTGGGTGTCCCCTGTGGCCAATGGCGACCTGGCCCTCAAGTTTGGGTACTCCATGTAAGCGACGCCACGAACCTTTCCTCGGACTGGGCCTTAGACCAGGCCGGAGTAAGGCCAGGCGGGAGCCAGCAGAGGGGTGGCTGACACACAGGAGTCACACCCAGGCCCCTGTCGGTGCCACTGCACTGCGGGGGCTGAGCCGTCAGCAGCCGTTTGCCCCCAAGGGACCCAGCCCATGGCGGAGACTCCGCCGGCCGCCTGGGCATGGAGGGCCTTGTCCCTGGGTCTGTGTGTGACTCTGGAGGGGAGACCCCACATGACCTGGCTGTGCCCTGACCAAGCCTTCAGTACCCGCCCCCTCCCCAGCGTGCTTCCTCGCCTGCAAGGTGACCGTGAGGCACCGTAAGCTTGCCCCAGCCCGCTGCATGCGTGGTGGCCACGTGCATCCTGGTTGGGCAGTGGCCTCAGGATGGCGGGCAGGGCTGGGGCTGCAGGGGCCGCTGCTCAGGGTGCCATGGCTCCTCCTCCCAGGCCCGATGGCGGATGTCAGAAGATGGACACCACCTTCAGCAGGGGTGCTGTGGACGGACAGTTCAGCAATGCGGGTGAGGTGGGGCGGTGGCTGGAGCGGGGGGCAGGCAGCCAGCAGGGCTGGCTGGGTGGGAGGCTGTGGGGTGGGGGCTTGGGGGGCTGTGCTGGCTGCCAGGTGGGTGTCCTGGGTGGGGGATCCTGGGTGGGGGATCCTGGGCTCAGTCTCTCGCGCCCTCAGCCATGGCCCAGACCGACATCCGGGTGGTGTCCACTGATTACGCGCACTTCGCCGTGCTGTACCTGGAGACGCAGAAGGCGGGCGTTAGGAACGTCTGGCTGCAGCTCTTCGGTGGGTGGCAGTGGGTGGCAGTGGGTGGCAGTGGGTGGGCACCCCCCCGCCCGTGCCCAGGCCTGGCTTGAGTGCTGCTCACTGCACAGTCCAGCAAGTTCTGACTCCATGGCAGGAGCCAGGGACCCCTCTCCACCCCATCCCTGCTTGCTGGACCCCCCCGCCCTTCCCCCTACCTCTTCCCCCGCATGGCAGGAGCCAGGGACCTCTCTCCACCCCATCCCTGCTTGCTGGACCCCCCCACCCTTCCCCCTACCTCTTCCCCCCTGACTCTGCTTCCTCTGCTCACCGTCTCCCTGCCCCCAGCCCGTACCCCAGAGATGTTTCCTGAAGGAGCCGAGAAGATGAGGCAGCTGGCACCCCAAGTGGGCCTGAACCCCAGCGAGGGCACCCTGCTGGCCAAGTCGGGTGAGCGCTGCCCCCACCCTGCTCGGGGCTGCCAGGCCCCGGCCCCCCCCACTGATTCCAGATGCAGGCAGAAGGACCAGGCAGCCCGGTCTGTCTGGGCCTGGGGGGAGGGATGGCTCGCAGGCTGGTGCCCCTCGGGGGGAGGTCACAGGCAGGGAGGCTCAGCTCTTCAGGGGAAGTGAGGGCTGCGCCCTAGGGGACAGGGGGGCACTGGATGGCTCCTCAG